AAAAAATCTTTTGAAAAGTAGTGCAAGTTCCCTTTAGCTTTATTGCCTTGAATAAAAACAAACATAGTACCTTGTGTTAATCTGACATAACGTCACTGGATATATTTCTTGCACCTAAATCATTTCATGTTCTTTCCCTTTGAAGTCTTTAGTTATTGTCATAAGCAGTTTCTTTCATGGTGGAGAGTGCCGTTGAACAGAGCAGCGCTGGGCAGCTCCTCCAGCTCACACCGGGACTTCTTGTCAGGACAGAGCTGGATGTGACAGGCTATTTCCATGGCAGAAAAGATTTCAGCTGGCTTACTGTCAAGCGGAGAGCCCAACGCGCAGTAGTTGCACGGCCCAGCGGTGGGGCTACGGCTCAGAGCAGCGGCGCAGTACTGCGTTTACTCTGTTTGTCCGTGTCACTTAATGGCCTGCTGTCATGTTAAAGGAATAGTTCACCTTAAAATGCAAAGTCTGTCATTATCTACTAAGTCTCATTTGTCGAATCATATCGACTACTTTTGTAGTTCTTTTGGGGTGCTTGTTGGATCAGAATTTATTTTTTTAAGTTCAATGTAAGGTTCTCTTATGCTTACACAATGGCTGCACTTATTTGATCAAAAATACAGTAAAATGACAGTATATTATTAGAATTTAAAATAACTTTTCTATTTTAATATATTTCAAAATGTAATTTATTCCTGTGATGGTAAAGCTGAATTTTCAGCATCATATCATCTTCAGCGTCACATGATTTTACATAAATCATTCTAATATACTGATTTGATGCTCAAGAAACATTCCTTATTATTGTCAATGATGAAAATGCTGCTTAACACTTTTATGGAAACCATAATATATTTTGTACGATTCTTTGATGAAAGTATTTGAAATATTTTTTTAAAATAATTTTGACATTTTAAATGTCTTTTATGCATCCTTGCTGAGCAAAAAAACAAAAAAGTGCTTTAAAAAAAGTCTTTTGAACAGAGGTGTATGTTCCCTTTAGCTGTATTGCCTTGGATAAACATATTGTGCCTGGTGTTAAATCAAATCATTAAAAGGTTCAGTGTTCAATAGACATTCTTTTCCAATTTCTGGAAATGTTTTTCAAATAGCTCCAACAAATGAAAAACAGAAAAAATAAAAGTCCGTTTGTCTATGCATCAATTCTAGCAAACATAAGGCTACTTAAGTCCAGAGATCTGGTTTTTGAGTGCATTTCCCTGTTGTTCTCGAGTGCTTGGAGGAAATCTGAGAAATGTGTGTGCGAGTCTGGACAGAAGTGTCCTGAGCTGGTCCAGCATCCCTCTGATGCCGCCACCATCTGTCAAGGCTGTTTCTGATTGGCTGGAGGTTCCGAGGCTAGGGACTCATGCAACGAGAGGACACCGGGGCAGAATATCGACTCTGAGCTGTTTTTGGAGCGAAAGTGTGGGAGACACGTCTAGCTGTAAGTTTTATAGAAGAACAGGGATGAAGTAAAAAAGTCAAAGGCCAAAGTAATGGCTTTATTGCTCTTGCCTTGGCTGACAGGGCCAGAGCTGAACACGCGACAGCTTTACAGCTCGTTTTAAACCTGATGAAACCTTAGAGCTGTACAGGGCTATCAATATCAAAGTCTGCACATGAGTTATACGTTTACAGCCTGAGGAGAAAGACACCCCCGGTGTCTGTATGGTACATTGCAGTCTAAAAATGTAGAAGCTCATATGTGTTGTGGTGTTTATGTTTGAAAGCTGTGTTTGCTATGTTTATGAGGAGCCACGGACCAAAGGTACCACGCATCTTAGGTATAATACATAATTGTGTCTGTTGGGTTTTTTCTTGCTGTTTTTGGCTGGGCGTCTATGACAGCCCATTGAACCATATGGTAAAAAGTTGCCAAATTTGGCACACTGATTGGAAAGTGTATGAATTTCATTTTGACCAAGTGTTTTAACTTTGATGTTAGTGTTGGTCCATTTACTGACTGATGTAATGCTTACAAAAAGCTAGTAGGCTGATAACTGGTAAATTATGTGGGATTTTTTGCACAAAGCACTCACGTTGCTTCATGAAATTGAGGTTTAACTACTTGGGTCACATGGATCACTTTTATGTCTTTACTACCTTTCTGGGACTTGAAAGTGGTAGTTGCGTAGACTGTCAATGGAGGGACAGAAAGCTCTCAGATTTCATCAAAAATATCTTAATTTTTGTTCCGAAGATGAACGAAAGTCTCACAGGTTCGGAACGACATGAGGGCGAGTAATTACAGAAATGACATTTTTGGGTGAACTAACCCTTTAATGGTTTTAGACAAACAGACATTCTCATTACGAAGTCTACACAAATGAACGCTGCTACTTCAGTAGGGTTGGGAATCTTTAGGCACCTCACGATCCGATCCAGTTCCGATTCTGGGAGTCACAATCCGATTCCAAAACGATTCGTGATCTACTTTTTTCCCCCGTATTAAATCATTTACCAACTTTACCAAAAATCTTTTTCTTAATTACATAAGTATCATCACATAATATTAAAAGGATTTTTAAAAAATAATTACCAATTTAAAAATTTAATTAAATATTAATATCCTTGTAATTTGTTTCAACCTTTCTGAACTTTATAAAAAATATTATTTTATAGACTGTTCGAGTATTTTTGTGTGGAATTGGAAGCAACGCAATGTCATTGTGCATCTGCGGTTAAAAGTTAAGCTCAGAGTCTATTCTGAATCGTTGGAGAGAGAATCGCGAGGCGATGTATTGATGCATCGATTTTTTTCTCCCATCCCTATTATTCAGGGGTTTCCATAAAACTGTTCATGGAGAGTGTTGCGCCACCTTTTGAAATACTTTTTTTGCTGTGCCTGTCAATTATTGTGAAACAATCCATTTCAGATTTATCTGGCCTTAAATAGCACATAAAATTACAAATTAATTGTGGTTGGTTGCTGCACTAGTCGTTGTATGATGATCCCTCACTGTCTAAGTGGCTGTTTTTTAGACATAATAAGCTTCGAAGTGGACTAGACTTTATGCCACAAGTCAAAGGACTGTCTATGTAAGACTACACTATGGTTACTTTAGCAGTTCTAGCGCCACCTATTGGTTAGAAAATCACTCCTCAGAACTCTGGAAATCTTCAAGTGGTGCTCACCGCAGAGCCAAATGATGTACAGTAATGGGTGGAGCTTTAACTAGTCCTGTGGACCCAGAGCCATAGAGAGAAAGAGTTGCGACACGCTTTGATGTCGCCGCGACGGCTGTCACGTGGTTCATGTAAGCCCCAATAGTTCCAAAACATACGTGGGCTGTCATGTTCTTCTATGGACAGACAGCAGCGATTGCATTATTAAACGGTAGATATAAAATAAAACACACAACCAAGTACTAACAAGTTTAAGCTGTTATTGCATTTTGTTAATGTCAGTTTTGCATTTGGAGAGGCAGGGTGACAACTTAGATAAGTATTAGGCTATATTTTTGGAGGGAAAAGCTTAGTGTTCATGTTCGCATGGGTAGTAGCACTGGCTTTAGTGGCTCTAACTTAACTTTTCCATGTCATTCATCTGATGATGGACGTCTCATGATATTTATTTTAGCACAACTGGGCTGTATTAGGCTATTGATTCCCGTGATCTTGCTTATAAATTCCGATTCAGCCATTAGCCTACCTTCGTGATCACGCAGAGGTCTGCAGTCCGTTCAGAACTCCAACCAACATAAAATATAAATAATTACGCTGTGCATGTACAAATGAATGATTTAGGAGGGAAATAGACTGCTCCCATAACGTAGAAAGCAACAACTATACAGCAATGTTCGGTAATATTCAACCGAAAAATATTCTTCATAAAATTAAACCGGAGAGTTAGTTAATGAGTGAATTAACTATGTTCCTAAATACATATAAGCACATATGCATAACCCTAACCCATTTAAATAAATGAACTGTGTGTGTGTGTGTGTGTGTGTGTGTGTGTGTGTGTGTGTGTGTGTGTGTGTGTGTGTATGTATATATAATATTATATATAGGCTATATATATATATATATATATACATATAAAATATTACTAAAAATATTATATATTATATACATCAGGTTACCGTAAGTTAGTGAAGTGTTGGTCACGTAAGCTATCGCTGCAATTAACCTATTATCTCCAAATAAACATTTACTAAAACTGGCTACATAAAATATAACTAGGTCGGCTAATGTGTGTAAAAGTAAAAAAAAATACAGTAATTTCATTAATTTACCAGCGAGCGTACTTCGGAAGCACTGAAAATGAATGGGCTTCAATGCTGGAACTATCAGTGTTTGGAACTATTGGCTGCTCCACGACACGCGTTACTTCCGCATTCCAAAGTTCCTATGGCGGTCTATGGGAGTGTCGCAACTCTTTCTCTCTATGGCTCTGTGTGGACCTAATTAGTGTTAGGGTGTGGCTAGACCCTAAAAACCACCCATAACATTCATAGAGGAGGAGCTGGACGTCCATCTCCACCCATTGGCTCTGCAGTGAGCATCCTCTCGAATTTTTTGGCCTAAAGTCATGACTAAGATGAATGTTTTTTTTCCGGTTTTGGTGCTTTCTTTAGTTCCGTGCAGCGGTTGTGCCGCGAACTATAGATATTCATATCTTTAGTTCAGCCATATAGCCATTTTCAGTCATTCTACAGTAATGCATAAATACATTTTACCATGACAATTGAATGTCAACATTATATATGTTGTTATCGTAATTTGGCAAAGCTTTTGCTAAATCAGATTTAAACTCACAGTACATTTATCCATTTTTGAAGGCACTTTTATTCAAAGCGCTGCATTGGAGGTATAGATTATTTAAATTTAGTGGATGACTTTGCAGATGAATGTTTGGTAACAGCACCACATACTGGTCAAATGTTGTATGTTCCAGTGAAATATAGACTGAACTAATTGGAATAAAAGCATAGTTCTGTCTTGCATTTTTATTATTAACATGCAGTCCCTTACCTGTTCTCCTCTCCTTCTCCTCCTCCTCTCCCAGATGCGAGGTATGCTGTCCCCCCCTCCTACCGACAACAGCCCTCCTTCGCTGCTGCTCCCTCCTTCGAGCAACCCGACTGGAATCCTCGTCTGTGTGTGATCAGTGGAAATCAGCTCTACATGTTGGACCAGGAGGAGGTACTGGCAGCCCAATCACATGTAATCATGCACTTCCTAGCACTTCCTTTCCAGCCTGTTCCTTCACAGAGTTTGTGTGCCGGGTGGTAATTTTACCGCCAGTTCACATGAGGATCTTTATTTGAGACTTGCCACGGCTCAAAACACACACTTTCTGTTTCTATATTCTTTAGTTGACTTGCATGTACAGTCTGGGAGTGATGTAAGTGCAATTGTGTAACTCGCATAAGTATTAAGTGTGGTGAGTCATTATTATCAGTTTGTTAATAATCAGTAGTCTGATTAAATCAATATTTGAAAAAGATAATACCAGTTTTTATTCTAAATATTTTTCAATGGTGAGTTACAAAAGTAAGGAGCGGATATTATGTTTTAAATATATGCCTGGTTTTATTTGAAGCCTGTAAAATTGTACATTTGAGTTAGTCAGTGGCAGATGCCATTACTGATATCTAGAGAGGATTATATAAAATTAATTGTTAATAATGTTTTAATAGTTTGTGTGCGTATACACACACACACACACACACACAATATATAATATATTTTTTATTTATACATGTATCATGTTATAATATAAGTACTGTATTATGTAATATAATAGTGTATGTAAATAAGTATATGTAAAAAATATATATATAATATTTATATTGTTGTAATAAACCCGATAAATATATATTGTTATATAAATTAATAATTATTGTTGTAATATAACCGATAAATAATCTATTGTAATACAGTATAAATACAGTATACAGTATCATGTTATAATATAATAGTCTATGTAAATATAATGTTGTAATATACCTGATAAATAATATATATATTATTATGATAGCATTATTCTATAATATTATAATATATATTTTTAGTTATTAATTAAAAGTCTATATAAATATTTAAAAATATATATTAAAAAAAAAATTTGCAAATGAAATGTACACGAAATTTCTGCAGTTAACCAAACAGTGATTACTCACAATTTATAAAAACTGCATTTAAATTTTTGAACACAGAAATAGTTTCTTATCCAAATGATCACCGGTGGAGGGGTTCAGATGCAAATTTCTTGTTTTAGTAAAAAAAAAAAAATACAAATATATATTAGGTTGGGATGTGAACACAAGTTCCTTTGCATGTTAAATGAAAACTTTCTCTACAGCAGAGGTTCCAAACCCCCTTATTTTTTTGCATTCTTCGAGTCTAGTCTGAGCGTACCTTGAGGAAGTCAGCCCGTGCAGCGCCTGTGGATCTAATGGACACACTGGCTAACCTGTAAAGCAGGCAGTGATGTGGATCAGGTCTCTAGTTGAGGAGAGCGCTGAGAGGCTCATTAATCAGAGGCACCGTCCTGACTAATTGCACCCGTTTTGTTGCATGTCCCGATAAGGCCACACTTTGAATAGATGTGAATCAGTCGTGACAGGCTAATGGCTGTCACCTCTGTGAAGATGAGCACCATGAAATATTCATGGTTGTCACTCATCTGCTGCAGGGGACAGTTGCAACCCTGTTTGTGTGTGTGAGGGTCTTCATTCAGGTCCTGTAGTGAATGACAATCATCTCCTCCATGAAGACATTTGCACTCTGGGAGTCTGCAGGAGGACATGCTTTCTCTGATTGTTTTCAGGAGGTGTTGATGAGTGAGGCGAGTAAAGTACTTTCCAATCAATTTATGTTGTTACCACTTAACAGCAAAATTGAGGATCGTCAGTTAATAATTTCACTAGTGTGTTATATGCACACCGGATGTGTTTTATGTAGTTTTATTTTAGTATTATTTAGTATTATTTTATAATATTTTTTTATTTTTAAATGTTCAGTTTTCATTTTTATTTAACTTAATTTGTTTTAGTACTTTTTATGTGCTTTTGTCATTTGTATTGGTTTATTTTTAATTGTTGTAATTTGCTTTTAATTTTAGTACTTAAACGTCAAACTTCAAATTTATTTGAGTTGGTTCGAAAGGCAAACAATTTAAGTGTAATTTTTTCAGTTCATATTTATTTTGTTTTATTTCAGCATTATTTTAATTATATAACAAAAAAATCTTTTTAAAAGTTTCAGTTTTTAGTTTCTCCTCAAGTTTACTCAGGTGTAGCTATTTACTTATAATTTATATATATATATATGTTTAATATACATATATTTACTAGTAGTATTACTATTATGTATTATATCAATTATTTATTATATATTATAATAATTATATTATATTAATATTATATTATATAATTAAAAAAACACCTACAAACCCTTAAAATCTACTTTTGGTAATTTTGTTTTAAAAAGTGTGCTTATATTTCTTCAAATAAATGCCACTTGATATGTATTTCATGCAATGACATTGATACATTATACAGTGTGCTTTAACCGTCTAAATAAATGTAATACTTTTAATTGTCTGATTTACAGCTAATTTGAGTCATCACATAAAATCACATTCACAAAGAGAATCAAATTCAGAGTAGGTTACAGTAACATGGATGATAGAAATGTAGTGACTTGTTGCTATGCTCAGAAACAGCCTTTAGAGGGAGTGAGAGAGTGAGGAGTGATTTGCCGCCATGTCATTAGATCCTAATTGATGTTTGGTGACAGTGGCCCACGTCCGACTCCACACTCTCTGTGCACCAGCCCTCAGATGAATGGTCCTCGTGCAGATCTGTGCAACCGTGACACTGCGTTACGCAAGTAGACCCAGAGCAAGGCTTCTCTCGCTGTGAGTGGGCGGCAGCCATTCTTGTAGCTGCCCCAGGAATCAGGCTATGGAATCATGCGCTAACCAAATCGCTCTCTGTGGCTGCTCGCATTGTGTTTTATTGTGCTATTCCAAGATGTCACAGTAAATATATTAATTAGTATGGACTAGTATGGACACAGTCAACAGAGAGGCTTTGATCGCAGCTGACGGTGTGACAGAACATGACAAGCCTTTGAGAAGAGCCGTAAGCATTGTGGGAGTCTGTTTGAACTGGAGGAAAAGATTATGTAATGGATTCCTGGGATGTGTCACGTGACAATATGACAGAGCTCATGAAATGGTTTGACAAGCAGAATGTTCTTTCCCAGAGAGTGCAACAGTAGCTGTCTAGTTTTTCAACATCCTTTCAGTATTTCTCCATCCCATTCATTTCCCCCAAAAGGATTTTAATAAACTCATGCCATTAACCAAACCAACCAGTTACGAGGTGTGTCACAGCAAAATAAAAATAATAGTCAAAATAAAACACTCACTAAAAAATATTAAATCTTTTATTTATGTCGTGTGATGTCTTAATTTTCCGAGCGGCCGGTTTGTTTGTGCAATTGCATAAATCCAGAAGACTTTCAAAATACTAATATAAGCAATAGGCTTTTTTAGAAAAGAAAATTGAAAAGAATAATTAGGGAGAATTAATAAATTCTAAATAATTTACTGCCATTTTCTGATAATTAAGTAATCATGTAATCAGTAAAAAGTAACTAGTCTGATTATAAATTCAGATTTTAAAATGTAATTTTGTAATTCATTTTTGGAAACTGATTACGTAATCCAGGTTACAAATAATCAGTTACTGATTATTTATATATACTGTATATATGTGTGTGTGTTGCAGAAAGACTTATTAAAAATAATTTGAAATAACGCAGACTGACGGCTTAAATAGAAGCATTTATCATCAATTAACAAGCTCGTAGCTCACAGTATAGGTCTGTCTTTAAATGTTTATAAGTTATTGTTAAAAATCTATTCCCCTAATGAGTAAATGAATGGGATTCCTTATCTAAAAGCGCCAATAGGTTTTAGTTGCTATTGCCAGTCAGAGGCAGGAAAAGAAAAGATTGTACATTATAATGTTTTCAAATTTATTTTGTCAAATTTTAGGAGAGTTCTGGCTTATAAATGTTAGTCTCAAAGATACAAAAATTTAACGCAGATGCAAATTTTAACCTCTTTTAACGGTTGAATAGAAGTGACTTGCACTAAAAAAGGTCTAAAGATGTCTGTTTTGTTATTTCATTTATCACTATTAGAACATGTAAAAAGCAAAGTGGAGCTGCAACAAGACAGGTTTTGTTAACAGATCGGACAGTTTTTGCTGCCATTTTGTTGTAGGTGGAGAATTAATTTCCATATATTTGTGGTGAGAAAACTGTGCATCCATCTATCCATATCTTTCAACTGCCACGTCTGACGGATTGCAACTGTATTTTCGATCCATAATTCAATGATTGCACAGTAAAAATGAAACAGGAGATAATATATCTCTGGTACGACGTTCTCAGGATCAGGATACAAACAAGTGAAAATCATCCTGTGTCATTTATTACCAGAGCAGCTGGAACCTGACAGTGATGTGATGTTGATAGAAGCAGACAGATCTCATCCTTCTTCTCTTTACCTTCGCTGTTCTGCTGTGATGCCGTGGTGTTCACGGGGCAGATCCGGGATGGAACGGGATGCCAGGGAAGTCAGTTGAGGTTGGGGGTCAGTCGGGCTGCCGGCAGGGTGCTGTCAGGTTGGGCTGTGATCTATTAGCGCACCATTAGGACAGAACGGACTGCACACCTGCTGCTCTCCTCCCTGTTTCCTCCCTCACCTGCCCCATCACACAGCTGGGCTGGTTTAGACTGCGCTGACATATGGCATACCCCCCTATAGCGCAGAATGGATGCGTTTGCCAAGCCTGAGCTCAGTCCAGATTTAGGTGGGAATGGGATACACACAGAAAGTGTTCTTGGGTTCAAAATAGCTAGATGTTAAACAACAGGACACAGATGTCTCAAAGCTGAACTACTGTATTCTAAAGGTGAAATTAGTGTCGCCAACACATTATCAATATTTTCCTTCTAACACGCCCCCGATCTGCTATTGGCTATATACTAAAATACAATGAAGTCTGGATCAAGCTGGAGAGTTTTAATATATGCAAGAAATGGCTACCAAATTTGAATAAAACATACTGTTGCCACTGAAAAGAAAATCTACTTTTCTCTAATTTCATAAAATATAGGGCATCCTTTATCCAAGGGAAATAATTTTTAATGATAACTTATAAACCATTAAAGACAGCACTACTGTGAGCTCTGAGGTTGTTAAGCCATCATGCTGCATTATTTTACCTTATTTTAATTTATTTGTAATAAGCATGTTTAGCAGTGGAATTCCTGATGGAAAATGACAGTACATTACCAATGATTCTGCAGCAAAATCTCCACAAATCAGAGAATCAAAACAAGGAAATGGCACTAAGGCCCTGTTTACACCTGGAATTAAGAAGCATTTTCATCAATCCGATCACAAAATGCACGTTTTTGAAACCGATACCAATATCATCTCCGTGTAAACTATAAAAACACGAATTTGTGAAAATGGTGAAGTCATGCGCATGCTTATTTTGTTTTCAGTCTATAGACCTTATGCGCCAGAGAAACAAGTCCGCAGCCATCTTTGAATTTCTTTGAACACTTTTGAACTTCCGTTTTTTTGCGGTAGCTCTGTATATTTCTATGGCATCGCTGTCGAAGGTGAAGTGGATCTACTTATTGTAGAGTTAATGAAAGTTATCATGAGCATTGCAATGTTTGAAGCGGATGCCATAACGAATGTCAGTAGACCGGGAAGATTTTAAAACGCGCTGTTCATTCAATCATAAGTCTTACCTTCATGCTGAGGAAATACAAACTGGAAGACAAACCACAACGAGCGCAGCGCTAAAAAGGGGCAGGACTACATAAGGTCTATTGTCATCTGTATACGAAAAATGCGAAGGAAAAACTTTTTTCAATTTTTACTACATCGTCGTCATATAAATGTACCCTAAAACGTTTTGAGCTTGTCCACTTTTGACCACTTTCAGAGGTAGTCACAAATGCATTCGACTGGATTGTAGACGCTCATGTGGTCGAATGCATTCGAACAGCCTCAAAAGACGCCTTCTCCCTGGCTACTGACTTAATGCGGAAACATTATGGGAAGTGCGCTAGTCAGACGGGATTTAAACCTTGTCGGCTGAAGACATATGTTGGGTTTGAACTGAAGATGAAAAAAAATGTACCAAGCACAATGTTCTCTCACCATTCCTGATTTCTAACACACACGTGATTTAGTCTTTATTATCATTTCGTAATAAATATCACAAGAGAGCAGTTTTTCTCCAAATATCAGCATGATAACAAATGTGATATTGATTTTATACAAGTTTAGTAAATAAGAAGTTAGTATTAAGTGACTTACATTTTAGACACCATATTGCCTGTTTTTGCTCTATTTCGCCAACGAAAATAGTTCAAAATAAAGCCATACACGGCGGTGTTTCCTTACTGAGTGAATCAGCTTTTTGAACGAATCAGTTGACTTGGATAGATTAAGATAGTCAAATGCATCCATAATAAAGGCTAGATGTCTTACGGCGGAGTCTCTATCGTCATCACCGGCGGCCATCTTGTCACAGGCAAGCTTTCTGGCGGGCTCTGTGGTGCCTGATGTAAGATGAGTGATCAGCACGAACACAAATACTCTTATCTCGTTGAAATCTTGACGGATTTACAAACGGTTTGGTTTCTTACAAACGTTATTGACGTGGCTATAATTCTGGATGATTATTTATTGATACACTTATTATTCATAAGTGTGCAGTGTCATAACTACATCTCTGACCAAACCGTTTGAAAATCGGTAGAAAATTTAGCAAGTTATGGTTATTTAAAATACATGCACCATTAAAACACAATGTTACGAGTGAGCGAGCTGCCTGTGGCAAGATGGTACCTGCCAAAGTACCAACACAATGAACAAATTCAGCAAAATATCGTCTAATAATCGTTATCAAGAAAATCCCAGAAAATATCTAGATATAATTTTTTTGTCAATATCGCACACCCCTAGATTCACCATGTACGTAGCTGGTTGGTTTGGTTAATGTCTTTTAAGTCTTTAATGAAGACTTCCGGAAGACAAAAAATGCTTCCAGAACCAAGGCCGTTACAGTATATATACAGTTCAGGCGGGCACTGTTGCGCTCTATATCCAGTGATTGCTCGTCTGTTGGGCAGGTGATTGTCGATCAGTAGCGGGTCCATCTCCACCTGGTCTCTGACTCTCTGTGTTGTGTGCCAGATAACATTGAACCAGGTAATTGCTGCCAAGCCAACACAGTCGCCCAGCTGAAGTCACAAGTAGAGTCCCGCAAGTCCTGATACACACTGTAGATGTGAATCTAATGGTTTCATTTTCTTGAAATTAGCATGATTTTGACAGACGAAGCCTAAATTATGTTCATCATATAAAACGATTGTGTCTCTTCAGAAGATTTGGACTAAACCGCTCAATTAATATAGATTAGTTTTACGATCTCTTTATGAACTTTCTGAAGCGTCAGTTGCGTAGCTGTCAATGGAGGGACAGAAAGCTCTCAGATTTCATCAAAAAGATCTTCATTTGTGTTCCGAAGATGAATGAAAGTCTTACGGGTTTGGAATGACACGAGGGTAATTAATGACACAATCTTCATTTTTGGGTGAGTTTATCCTTAAAAATAAATCTGCACTGCCTGCATAGTAGATAATTGTTCACATAAAAGGGCATGTACGTTAAACAGCGATCTTGCATGCTTTCTAGTAAGTCATGAAGGATTTATTGCATGTTGTGCATCTTTTATGAGGCAATCCTTCCTGTAATTTCGTTGCAGCTGGCTATACAGACATACATTTTAAAAGACATACAAATAAAACATAATATTTAGTTTGCTTTGCCCTAACAGAAAACACCCTCATGGTTATAGCATAATGTAGACATCCTTCATTTTTAAAACTATAAAGACAAACCGCACGAATGCACCGTCAGGCAGAGTGCGCACCATTATCTTCCAGTCAGCTGTGTCAATCCCTTCAGACCTCCTAAATCTGCATTTTTTTCTCTGTGTGTGAAAAGCTGAGCTGTGCATAAAAATGGAAAGTGTCCCATAATGCAGCTGGGTCCGAGTGACAAGGCCACCCCTGAAACATTTTAGCTGTTTCCCATAGGGCTCAGTGTCTGATCCTCTCTTGCCCCACTCATTTATCACACCAGACTGTAGGTAATCGCCTCCTTCACAGCCTTGCTCTCGATATCTCCCTCTGGAAAGTGCCGGCGAACACAGGAGAGACGCTCATGCGCTAAACAACCCCTGTGCAATTTGAAGGCAAACTTGCACTGAGATGTTGTCCTCCGTGTGCTTGCGGACGAAGATCAGTGAGCTCTCCCTATTAAGAAGATTTCCCGTGAGATGTAGCCCCATACCGAGGCTTAAATAAACACATTAAACACACAAGTTTGCAATTATTTTCCCCACTCACCCCAAACACACACCATTTCTTTATTATTTCAAGGAATCCAGTCTCAACGGAACTTGTTGTTTTAATAGCGGAGGTATTCCGACTGGTTTAGCGCAGAGCCCTGCACGATTGACTCAGCTTGCCATATTGACCTCACGCTCTTTGCACTGACCTTTTATCTCTGCACTCCCGCAGGTTCACCCTTTGTTGATGCGCGAGCGGCGCTCCGAGTCGCACAGGAACAAGCTGCTGCGACGGACGGTCAGCGTGCCTGTGGAGGGGAGACACCATCCTGAAATGGGTGAGTCGCACACGTGCCGTCCTGCTTCCACTCGATCTGATGCCTTGACAGTGACGCCTTTAACAAAGCGCCTACACTATTAAAAATGAAGGTTCTTTATTTTATATGAAGGTTTATCTTTATTCCATGAAGGACCTTTAAAATCCATGGAACCTTTCCATTGCACAAAAGGTTTTTATAGTTGAAAAAAGATCTTTAGATTATTAAGGCAAGACATCAGGTGAATAGGGTAAAACATTTAACTAATAGATACCACCATACTTCCCCAGTTGATTGATTACATCAAGAATAAAAAAAAAAAAATTTGTATTACAATTTTTCTGAAATTGTTTAAATATGCAAATGAGGCATTCATTATCGAATTAAAGGTAGGGTAGGTAATTTGTTTTATACTGGTTGATATACTGTTTTACTGGTTGAAACTCTCTTCGCATACTGATAGCAATCAATAATAGAAGTGGTCTAAATATTAAAACATGTACATACTGTATATCTTCTGTGGAAGTCTTAGGACCGAAAAACGTTCGTCCAATGATACGATGTCCTACCTGCCTGTCAACGTATGTATTTTGATTATTATTGTAATGTTCTGTGGTTTAAACCATGAGGTAATTTAACGGCATCTCTCGTGATGCTTTGCAGAATCTGCTGTGTGCGTTAATGTGTTTTGAAGGAGGCATGGCTTTGGAGACGCTCTGAAGGGAGGGTGGGATCTCATGCTTTCAAAGCTAACTTGCTATTGCTAGCCTCTCTGCAATTACCTACCTTTAAAGTGTAACTTTCCCGGTGTTCAGCCCGCTTTGTATTGTTACAATATCGGCAGTATATATAAATGAACAGTGTTTACTCATTCTCTGTGTTACCTGGACCAAGAAATTTCACATTTATCGCATTTGACTTTTGACAGCTCCAGGGTCTTTGTGAAAACTACAGATTATACTTCCGCATTTTTGTATCCCCCGCTGCACAGTCGGATCGACAGTTGGATCGGCATAGTGTAAGGGTAGGTTTATCACTGAAAACTGTATCGTACGTTGTCTGCTCTTTAAACAGCATTATGGTAAAAATGGAACACTATGGTAACAGCTTTCTTACCTGTACGAGACAGCGTTTTTCTTTGAGTGGAACTGACAGAACAGTTTCTTTCAGTTTTCTTCCTCAGTTTGGCCTAAAACACTGTTCATGTTCATCCAGTTTGAAATGTTTACTAAAAACACAGAAGTTTTTCAGATTGTCTGTCGTGGTGTTCTCTTAGTATTTACGATTCTTTGCAGCCTTTAGCCACTGCCTACAACCAGTGATGTAGTGGTGCCTGGAGAAGTGGGTATACTCTTAATTTATGCCCCCAATATTTTTTTTAAGCGTCCCAGTAAAGGATGAACGTTCTGTGTTATAAACAGTGACATGTAAGACTAGTCTTGCATATTAGTATTGAATATGCAAGACTATATAATATAGAATATAATTAATCGAATAGAACTTAGAATTACTAGTATTCGTGCATATCAGGGCCGTACACAGGGTTTTATAAATACAGAGTTCCCATAAATTAGAACATTTTGATTTTCTTGATCTTGACATGAGCGTTTTAAGGTGTTTTGAAGGCCAAAAAAATGGACAGCAGTAGCTTTAAAAGCATGTCGGTGGGCAGTAGCATGAAGTATTTGATCAGATTCTTAAACATGAGAATCAGTTTAAATGTTGCAATGAATGATCCACTCTACAAAATGTAAATGCAGAATGTTTATGCTTAGGCTATTGTTGACAATACACATATTCAAAACGGGAATGGCCTTGAATAAGAAATGATTCAAGGATTATTTTGCATAGATGTTACATTTCAAACAAACGTCAATGCAATCCTTCTGTGTCCATAGGCATATGAGCAATTAGTATGAGCATCAAATATCAGTTTCAGCTTCTTTTTCTTTCCTAAATTAATCAATGTTTTTGGACTAATCTGTTCATTTAAGCTTGTCGCCGCCTTCTGGCTTAATGATGCAAGTTGCGCAAACACAGACAAGCGGAGTGATACAAACAACACATTCGAGGTAACGTTATACAAATATATTTATACAATAATAATGGCAATATATTTAATAGGGTGCTTGTGTTGTTAAATTGAGCTTATACTTTCCACTGTCTTTGATCAAACTGATTATTTCTGTCGGTCATTTAAAACTTCTATCGAAAAAACAGCTGTTTATTTTAGCTACTTGCATCTTATCCCGCACAGTATGATCGTTAACTGAAGTGAAGCGTCGCTTTGGGATTCGCGCTCGCGGTTCTATGAACAAAAATCCCGCTTGCTTTGATTGGTCTCAAACATTAGACATTGACGAGCGGGTGTTTGAGTGCTGAAGCAGCTCAGATAAGAAGGTCAGTTATCGTCGCGATGAGCGAATCATTGTGGCACCAAATTAGAGTTAATATTAGGGGATTATTTCACAACTTTTATTATATAGGCTACACTTAAAAAAACGACCCTGACTGGGTGTTTTTTATTCACATGAGATTGGATTAGCTACTAAATGATGCGCATCAGAGGGGATTTAGAAGTGAGTATACGCAATGCCGACTGAAAAAGAAGTGGGTATACGCCGTATACCTGCATATACCCTGCACTACACCACTGCCTACAACGCACTGGATCCTTCACTGGAAACCGAAAGGAACTCACTCCCGCTAAACATTTACTCTGTGAATTCTTGCACCTGGGAACAATACATGTCAACACCTTTATGACTAAAAGTTTGCTAAGAAGTATTTCCTTCTAAAGCAAGGCGGGATTTGACTGGTAAGTGTATCCATAGCAGACTGGTGGGAGTGGCCTTGGATGGCAAAATGCCCAGTGCATTATGGGTGTTGAAGTTTTCCTACCTATTTGGCAAAAGTGAAGACAGCCTTTTTTCTGTTTTCTCTAGTCGAGAGCACCGATTTCAATTCTTTTCGCCTTTCTACTGTATAGGCAGCCAAGTTTTATTGAGAGCCCATTTTGCCAGTGGTGAAGTACCCCTTTTAATATGCACTAAATTTGCATACATTTCCAGAACAGAAATCTGAACATTGGATAAAGCCAGTTTCAAAATTCTTTTTTTCATGTTGTTGTTTGTCATTATTAGAGTCAAAGGTTTTTTACATAAGAGATTTTTATCACTCCATAAATCAATCTGTCAACAGCCAGAAAGAAAGAATATAAATATATTAAAAATGTTTAAGAATAAAATGTATAAGATCAGGCAAATGATATATAAACAAACCCCTCTGTAAAAAAAAACAGAATATAGAGAAAAGTTTGGTGTGTTACTGAAGTGGAGATTTCTGGCTCATTTTGACAAAATGGGCTTTAATGATATGTATTGTAATTGAAATATATGCAAATAGATAAAGTGCTATAAATTAAACACTATTTTCTTTCCATTAGTTTTAAAAGCACGTTATGAAAAGCCAAATAGCACAAAATTGACCAGAGTGGGAAAAAACAATGTTTTTGCCTATAGTATCTAGCCTTAAAATGTTCTTCAAACTAAGAAAAAAACGGTTCTTCTATGGCATCACTTCAAAAAACCCTTTTGGAACCTTTATTTGTAAGAGTATAGCATGCTGACTCCTGGTGAATAGCACATCTGCGTGAGGTGTTGAACGAGGTGGCCCTCTGCTGATCATCCGAGACTCCTTTCTCAGTTTCCGTGACAACGATTTGGGATTTGCACGGTTTCCGAGAAGGGCTGCCCACAGCTATACGTTCTGATGATGTTCTCTGAACGACACAGGGGCTCTATACCACCATATGCCTTCCAGAAAAAGAGGCCTTAAGGAAAACGAAATATTGAATGGAATTTATCTCAGGAGAATGGTTTAAATTAGCTGACAAGGCATGCTATTTGGGTGTGGGGGTGGGTTCGTTCAGTGAACTATAGATTCATTAATCATTGCATAATGACACAGTGACCTATTTTGTAGTGTCTTTTCCTGTGGTTCCTGCTTAATTTGCACATGTGTAGACTTTCAGGATGAGACTATTTAGCTCTGTTCCAAAATTTAGTGAGCAGCCTCGCTGTCTAAACATTGCAAAACCTGTTTTCTTAATTAGTGCTCTATATATAAATCCTTAAAACGGGCGGCACGGTGAAGCAGGGGGTAGCAGTATCGCCTCATAGCAAGAAGGTCCCCGGGTTTGAACCCCAGCTGAGCCAGGAGTCTTTTCTGTGTGGTGTTTGCATGTTTTTTTCATTAACTGTTTTATTTCTGTTTTTGAGTACAATATTTACATTTACATCAACTCTCCACCATTTTGGATTTTTTCCTTACTTGCGAAGGATGATGGAGGTTTTATTTGTTGCTTTACTGGCTAAGACACCTTGAGTGAATAGAGTGAATTTTTTTTTTTTTTTTTTTGGTAGTTAAAGGTGAAATGTGTCATTCTGGTGCCCCTAGCACTAAACAAATTTGCAAATATAATTTTCAAACACATTTCCTTTTCCCTAAGCAAACAGATAAGTAATTGAGCTAGAAATTTACATGAAAAAGCAGCCAAATAAACTGAGCAACATTGTGAAACCACCGCATATAAACCCCATAGTGGGGTTACCACACCACAAAGAAAGTGTTTTTAACATAAAAAAATTACACTCTTCTCCTTTAAAGCAGCACTAAGTAGGAATTCCGTTTTTGTCAAACAGCGACCCCTAGAGTCGCTGTGGAGTACTTGTACTGTCGTGAATAGCACTCACGCAGAGATGGCTCGCACTCACGGCCGGATCCCCTCCCCCTGTACACCGGTACCTGTTCAGTAGGATGGACGCTGTAACGAGTGGAAATAAGGTATGGCCCCTTTAAGAGCTGAGCGCGCCCTGTTTAACTGTCGGCAGTCTGTATTGTATGTGCGCCTTGAACACCACATGTATACGGCGCCGGGTTATTTCTGTTTGATGCTCATTTTATCAGAATTTTATCAGATCTGTTTTTTGCCGTAAAGCAAGTCGTTACCTCGCGAGACC